GGAGAATATTAAAAGTACCATGGACTTTCAAAAAACAGATTTATCTGTGTTAGAAGAAGTACAGCCAGAATATTCCTTGGAAGTCAGGATGGCCAGACTTCGCCTTTCATACTTGAGACACGTTATCAAGAGGGACCAGTCCCTGGAGAATTATTATCATGTTTGGTAAAGTGGAGGGTTGGAGAAAAAGAGGAAATCCCCAATTAGATGGATTGGCACAGTGGCAGCGGTGATGGGTTGAAATATAGCAACGATTGTTAGGTTGGCACCGGGCAGTGTTATGTTCATTTGTGCATAGGGTCCCTATGAGTCGGTACTGACTCAGTGGTACCTAATAACAACAACAAATTTCACTCAGCTTAATGTCCTCCAGATTCATCCATTTTATATGAGGTTTTTCACGGACTCATCATTATTATTCAAGATTGCATGGTATATTCTATGGTGTGTACGTGCCAAAGTTTGTTTATTCATTTTTCCATTGATGGCCACTTCGGCCATCGCCATCTTTTTTCTATTGTGAATAGTGCTGTGATGAACATCTGTGCTCGTATATCTACCTGTGCCCTGGCTGCATCTTAAGGTATTTCTATTTCCAACTTTCTGAGGAAACACTATATAGTTTTCCACAGTCGTCGAACTATTTTAAAGTCCCGCCAGCAATATAGGAGGGTTCACCCTCTCCAGCATTTATTTTCTGTTTTTTAAAATCTTTGCTGTTAATTCTGGAGCTTTTCTGTTTTTAATAATTTATTTTATTGTTGAGAATATGCACAACAAAGCATAAAACAGGTCAACAATGTCAGTGTGTACAATTCAGTTGATATTGAACATATTTCTCAAGTTGTACAACCATTCTCACGTCCTTTACTGAAATGCTCCTCCACCATTAACACAAACTCATTGCTCTATTTCCTATCTAATCTTTTGAGTAATTATTTACATATGATCCCATATAGACAGTTCTTAAAGAGCACACAGTGTTCACGGCAGGCATTCTTTTCTAGTTAAGCTAAACTATTGTTACATTTTAAGATTCAAAGACTTTGTAAATACAGAGTTTCATCTACTGTCCACGGCTCCAGAAAGTCTGGAGTCCATGAGAATTTGAAATTGTGTTCTGCATTGCCTGAGTGCAACACAACCACCCTACCCAGATGACCTCCCTCTCTCCCCACCCAGTCAGTCCACAGTTTCTGGAAGCCTCCTCAGGTCTGTCTATTTTACTATTTGTGAAGGTTTGGTGCTTTCTGTTTATGGCATTGGAGACCTTATAGATACTTGTATGACAGCTAACTGTTGTTCTTAGTATGTGGCAGGTCGATGCTAAGTATTACCACATTTGGAACCTTCCACAAACATCTGAGGCAGGACCTATCATTCAATCTCATTTTATAGTTGAGGACAACCCAGAGAAGTTAAATGACCTGTTCAAGGCCAAGCAGTTATAAGAACCCAAATTCCTATCTTAGGTGTAGTCTACCCTTAGAGTCCTGTTTGATTAGCCAGTTGAGTCTTCGTATTATAAACTATTCTGTATCCTGGCAAGGCAAGGAGGATGCAACTATTTTTTAGTACAAAAATTCATACAACCCTATGAGAAAAGGAGCCCTTGTGCACTGTATAAGTAGCAACTGCTAATTGAATTGTTGGTAATTTGAATACATTAGCAGTTAAATAAGAGGAGAGACTTAGGAGTCCTGGTGTGGTGCCAAAGAATAAGCACATAACCTTTTAAGGTCTCTTTGAACTGCAAGATCTGTTGTTCAAACTCACCATCTGCTCCACGGAAACCCTATACAGGTTTGCTATGAGTCTGAACTGACTCAATGGTACTTAATAGCAACAACAAATCCTATGGGGGTAGTTCTGCCCTGTCCTATGTGGTCCATGTGAGTCAGCAGCAATCAACAGCAGCAACTAGTGCAAATAAGGATGTGTCATACACACACAGTGTAATGGCTAATGGAATCAAAAGATATTTATGAAAGACTTGCAAATTAGAAGAATGTGTCATTTTCTGTCTCTTAAGATGGTAAAACATTTCAGAAGATTAGTAGTATCTAAGGAGAAGATACATTTGATATATTTGATACATTGGTTGAAGACAGATACATTTGCTCTAGAGTATAATTTGGCATTTTAAATAAAAAATTAAGATGTTCATTGTCTTTTACCCAACAATAATTTTAGGATAAATTCTGTAAGTTTTCTCTTAATTACTTACATGAAATGCTATCCATAGTACATTGTTAAAGTGAGGAAGAAAGGCTTCAGAATAGTCTATGTAATATACTTCCATTTTGTTTTAATATGGGCACATTATATAAAATATAATTATAGTTATATAAACTATATAAGATCACATTTTGAAGATGCTATTACACTATATAAAAGACTCCTGGTATGGAGCTGCAGGATCAGCACTGGACTGTGAACCACAAGGTCAGCCATTCAAACCACCAGCCGCTCCTCGGAAATCCTGTGAGTCAGAAGTGACTCAGCGGCATTCAACAACATTTACGGTGTTTAAGTAGGAGGGAGGTGGAAGTTCATCAAGGTGGTATTATGAGTGGTTTCACTTTTTAAAATGAGCACTTAGCCGTTGTTTTTTTTTCCTTTAAATTTTACTTTGTTGTTGAGAATATGCACAGTGAGACATACATTAATTCAACAGCTTCCACATGTACAATTTAGTGACACTGATTTCATATTTCAAATTATACATCCATTCTCACCCTTCTTTTCTTAGTTGTGAGAAATAAATCTCAGACTGGTCTAGAATTCTTCAGGGAATGGTTGAGAGATGGGAACACCACCTTTAGAAGTGTATGTTAATTTAAGTGCAGGATATGTCAAGAAACAACAGCTTTACATTTTGATATTTTTTGTTTAATAAAGGTTTCTATGATTTTTGTAGCAATATTTTTGACTTACCTGCTATATGTACCACATTTGGTTGATGGCCATTTAAGTTAGTTGTTTCTGCCTTGTTTTTTTGAATATTGGTGTGCATATGTTGGTTCGTGTCTGCTTTCAGGTCCCTTCAGTATATTCCTAGCAGTGGAATTGCTGGATCATGTGGTAGTTCTATTGTTAGTATTTTGATGAACCACCATATTGTTTTCTAAAATTGCCGTATCATTTTGCATTATAGCACTAGCAGTAGACAAGGGGTCCAGTTTCTACTTATTTTCATGAACATTTGGTATGTTCTTAGCTATCCTGGTGGGAGTGAATTGCTATCTCGATATGGTTTTGTTATGTATATCTCTGGTGGCTAATGTTGATAAGCATCTTTTTTATGTGTTTGGTGGCTATTTGAATGTTCCCTTTCATGATATGTATATGGAAGTCCTCTTCTCCTTTTTTGATTTGGTTGTATATCTTTTTGTTGTTGTCAAAGTTTTATGTATTTTTTGGTTATTAGATGCTTACCAGATAAATTGTTTCCAAAGAGATTCTCATACTTGGTAGCTTGTATCTTCAATCTTTTGATAATGTCTCTTGATGAACAATAGTTTTAAATTTTTATGAGGGCCCATTTATTTTGTCTTTGACTGCTAGACTTTTGTTAACATATTAGATAGCCCATTGTTAAAAAGATAGGCCTGGCAACCTTGCCCTTGCAGTTGCTTCTAAGAATTTAAGGTTTTAATTTTCACATTCATGTCCTTGATAAATTTTGAACTGGTTTTTGTGTATGATGTGAGGCATGTGTCCTGTTTTTATTTTTCTGCATGTGGACATCCAATTTTCTCAATACCATTTATTGAAGAAGGAGCCCTGGTTGCATAGTGGGCTATGCTTTGGGCTTGTAACCACAAGGACAGTAGTTAAAATCCCCCAGCCATTTCACAGAGACAGAGGCGGTCTTCTGTTCTCATGAGATTTACAGCCTCAGAAACCCTACATAGGGTAGCTATGAGTTGGAATCAACTCAGTGGCAGTGGGGTGTTTTGTTTTTAATGCATAGAACAGATTCTTTTCCCATCAATGAACTTGGCACTCTTATAAAAAAAACAGTTAACCACAGATGTATGGGTTTATATCTAGACTCAATTCTATTTCAATTTTGGAATTAAAAAAAAAAAGGTAACTATAAACTTGTGGTGCCCTCTAGTCAATTCTGACTCGTGGACTCATGGCGACCTCAGCCCTATATGAAACCTGATGGAGTAGAACTTCCTTTCGGAAGCAGACTGCCAGTTTGTCTTCTAAGGAGTTTTGGGTGGGTTCAAACTGCCAACCTTTGAGCTAGTAGTTGAGTGCTAATCAATTTGTGCCACCCACTGTTGTGCCCAAGAGAAATGAAAGCACATCTGTACAAAGACTTATACATGAATGTTTATAATAGCTTTATTTGTAATAGCCCAAAACTGGAGAAAAATGTGAAAATTCAGATGTCCATCAACAGGTGAATTCATAAGTAAATTGTGGTATAGCCATACCATGAAATATTACTTAGTAATTATTGTAGTTAAGTGCCCCCAAGTTGGTTTCAATTCATAGAGACTCTGTATAGGGTCTCCAAGGAGTGACTGGTGGGTTTGAATTACCAACCTTGTGGTTAGTAGTCCAGTGCTTACCCAAGTAATAAATTATTTTCATATAAAATAACATAGATAATGCTCAAAATAAGCATGTTTACCAAAAGAAGCAAACTTTTAGTGGTTTCCATAAGAATTTGTATGATCTTATATGAAGCCCTTAATGTTATACTATTACCTTTAGATATTACAACATAAGATCATACAAATTCTTATGGAAATCATTAAAAATTTGGATAACACAAAACTCATAAACAAGGACATAACCAAGAATGCTGATTAAAACAAAGCCCTAGAGTACCATTTTCACCAAAAAACCTTTCAGTTTGACAGATAAGACCTTGATAATAAATTTCATAGTCTGTCCACTTCAAAATAAAAACGTTTGCCTAGCAGTTGGTTGACAGGTGATAGATGCCCTTCATGTGTTTTTTTCTCTTTTTTTCCTAGGAAGTATTGATGAAGATGTTGTGTTGATAGAAGCTTCCTCTACTCCTCAGGTCACTGCCAATGAAGAAATTAATGTTACCTCAACTGACAGTGAAGTGGAGATTGTAACAGTTGGTGAAAGCTATCGGTGAGATTATAATTCCTAGTTGTATATTTGAAGATCTAAATATAAATACTTAAACATATTTACATATTTGTGCTATATAGATATTTGAATTCTGTTTGTGCACAGGGTCGCTACGAGTTGGTACTGACTCGATGGCACCTAACAACAACTCATTTTTGTGTTTGAGAATGCACGTGCTTGTAAAGTTGTTGTTTTTAAACCAGGATGTATACAGTGCTGCCTGAACCTTGTCCCAGATTAGTGAACAAGATTCCTAGATATCAGTAGGATTTTAAAGCACCCTTAGTGTACATTAAGAGTTGTTTTAAGTAAAGTCATTGTTGTAAATAATAAATTTCTATAGTGTCTTAAAAATTGAATATGTTTTTAATACACAGAATTCATGAACTCCTTTGAAATTTAGATGCAAATAATTTGGGGCTGGTGTTGTAATTGAATGTAAAAAAATATTAAGCAATATCGATATTAAAATAGTTTTTAGTTATAATCCACTTGGTTCAAGATCCTACTCCTTGATACTAGTGAAGTTTGTGTGCTATTATGTTTGGGTAGCCTAATATAAAATAAATGCTTAAAATTTTATTATCCTTCATTCAGTAATTTCTTCTAAGCTCTATATTGACATATGAATGGGAAAAAAAAAATCCTCATTTCTAACTGTTTTTATAAATACCTGGAAATGGCAGAACTACTTTTGCAAAATTACTTTGGCCTCACTGCAAACAAAAGAAAGCACACCAGTTCTTCATTTGTTCTTCAAATGATTACAGATACTGGCAATCGAAGTGGTAAAAAATTGTTGTTACATATGATGTTGTTGTTAAATGCTGTAGAGTTGGGGTCTGACCCATAGCTACCCTGTATAGGGTTTCCGAGGAGCAGATGGTGAACTTAAACTGCAGGCCTCCCGGTTCAAGCAGACTTTGGAGTCCAGTGCATTAACCCACAGCATCACACCAGGACTCCAATTACATACGGTATATCCAATTTATAAACTAATGGATAGCTCTTAAAGCTTTGTGTTCAAATGAATTTTGAGATGCATGTGATATTTTCATCTGCTGGTCATGATTTAAAAGTAGGCATATTTCAGAATCACTTTTCACATGTACCTAGAACATGCTTCTCCACTTGTTTGTCTATGGGAGAACTCTTTCTGCTTGTGTGGAAAAGAGCATGAGTGCTCTTAGATCTGGGATTTAGACTCCAGTTGGCCTTCTGCACTCAAGACATTTCTTTATCCACTCTTGTTCTATCTTAACTCTTGTAGTTTTATCACTATTCTATAATGTGTCCCGATTGCTTTAATTTTTAAATAATTTCCTTTAAATCTTTTAATAAAATTGATTCTTTAAGATAAGTGCTTTGTTAACTCTGTACTATGCATAGTGTTTGTCAAAACACTGCCTCAGTTTTTATGAGCTAAAAGTTCTGCAGAAATTTACCCTAGTAAAGGGACAGTGCTCTTGAAAAAAGACCAACATTGTTCATGATCTATTGTTATTCTTCTTATTGATACCTGGAATATTAATTTAGTCATTTTTTGGCCAACATTGACCCTTCTTTAAGAGAGAGTGCATGTGTGTTTCAAATTCTTTTGTGTTAAGATTTGGCCGTTGCCACTGAGCCATAGGGCCACTAAGGCCTACGTGAAACTATTCCTCCTACATTAAGTATTCAGCTGTTGTTCCATTACGCAGAATATTTGGAGTTAGCACATCGTATGAAATTTTCACAAAAGTACTTCAAAGTGGACCTGGTATTTGTGCAGGTGTGGAGTCCTGGTGTGGCGCACTGCTGGTTAATGCACTGGACTGCAAAGTTGGTTTGGGTCGCTATGGGTCGGAACTTATCAACAAAGTGATAATAAACTGTTCAGTCTCGTCCTAGACTCTTAGTGTCTCAAAGTTGATCTCTCTACTTTTCCAAAACCATTTTATCCTGAGACATTTGTTTGCCATCATACCTCAAGCTGTATAACTTGCTGGTATGCATTGAATTTTATAGCCTTTTAGGAATTAACCTGTATGTTTTTGTTTCTTGAAAATTTCTTTCTAGAATTTTGTATAATCACCAAGGCCAGTTTGAACTTAGAATGCTCATCTGTTCAGAGCTCACATCTCTGGTGATCTAGCATATTTATGAGTCTGGCTCTCTCCATACATATGACAAAATAATTTCATAAGCAGAGTTACATTCAGTTTGAACAGGATGAAAAACAAAATAAAACAAAGCCAACTTTATAAGCTCTTGCGTTTTTTGACCTCCACCTTGCTAAAACAGATTTATTTTTATCTCTTAGTGATTTAGGGTATTATATTCTGGGTGTGGCGCTGTGGGTTAATGCGCCAGACTGCAAAGCCATTTAAATTGCAAGGTCGGCAGTTCAGGTTCACCAGCTGTTCCTCAGAAACCCTCTATACAGGGTCGCTGTGGGTCGGTACCAACTCAAAGGCACTTCACAACAACACAACAACAATTCTACATTTACACCCTTTAAGCCTGTAACTGAAAACACCTTCAAGGGATCAGCTTTCAGCTAAAAAATAACTAGGCTTATTACGTGAAGTCAGGAAGGAGCAGGAAAGAAGGATGAATGGAAACAGGGAACTCAAAGAAGTGAGAAGAATGCTGTTACATTGAGATTACAACTAATGTCACGAAACAAAATCTGAAAAAATTTCGAATGGAAACTAATTTATACTGTAAACTTTCACCCACCTACAATAAAAAGTGAAAAATAGAAAGCCATGTTTACAAATCGAACCTAGGCTAAACTTAAAGATCATGTGGACTTTTATTAAATGTGTTGGGTGTTGATAATTAATTAGAGTAAAAGGGAACGTGGTGGCTCCAAGTAATAAACACTGAACCATGAACCACAAAGTCTGTGGTTTGAGCCTGTTAGCTACTTTGTGGGAGGAAGATGAGACTTTCTGCTCATGTTAAGATTTAAACCCTCGGAAACCCTGTACAGCAGGAATGTTGTTGTTATGTGCCGTGGAGTCGGTTCTGACCCATAGCCACCCTGTACAGGGTAGCCGAGGCTGCAAATCTCTACGTGAGCAGAAAGCCTCATCTTTGTCCCGCAGAACAGCTGGTAGTTTCAAACTGCTGACCCTGAGGTTCGCAGCCCAATTTGTAACCACTACACTACCAGAGCAAGATACAGCTGGTGGGTTTTAACTGAAGACCTTGAGGTTCACAGTCCAGTGTTGATCCACAGTGCCACACTAGAAGTCCAGGAAATACAGCAGGCTAATTTTTTAGTTGATAATTTTGTGTGGCCTATGAACAATGCTATACATTTTGGTAGAAAAAAAGGTCCTGCATTCCTGCTCAGGATCACAATAGAAGGTCCTGGACAGAGGGAGAGGGGGATAGCATTTAACAACAACGGCAACCTATATAGTGAATAGTTTCAGGTATTTATATAAAATGTAAATACTTGATTATAACCCAGGTAGATATTTTAAATAACCATTGAAGAGAGAACAGCCATTCTTGTTTCAGAATTGTATATTGTATATTGGTCTAGCATAGTATTTCTTATATTTTTAAGTCTGCTTGTTAGTGATTTATTCATTCAGCAAATGCTTACTGAGTACCAGGCATTGTGCTAGGAATAGTTTTAAATTCTATTACCATTATTTCTTTGGAGAAATCTTGCATGAAGAATTTAAAAAGGCTTAGGATTATTTGGTAACTTAAATTTTATTTTTTTAAATATTTACTTCTTTATTATTGTCATTTTAGATCTCGTTCAACCCTTGGACACTCCCGATCTCATTGGAGCCAAGGTTCAAGTTCTCATACGAATCGACCACAGGAGTCTAGGAACCGCAATAGGATTTCTACTGTTATACAGCCCTTGAGACAGAATGCAGGAGAAGTTGTGGACCTTACTGTTGATGAAGATGGTAGGAATTTGCTAAAATAAAATATTTAGTATCCTAGAAATGCTAGTACTAAATTAGTAGGTCATTGTCAGATTTTTTAGTCTTAAAATTGAATTGATAATAAATAACCTCACTGTATAAATTGTGCCTAAAATTCTTTCTGGTTGACTTGAGGTATTATTTACATTTTAGGAGGAAATTATCAAGCCTAATTTCTCTAAAGGACAATGATAAACTATAAGAGCTTGTTAGCTTTGGAAGTTGACTGTCAGTTGGGGAAAGGTATGTAGATAGAGTTAATAGGCGGAAAGTGTTAGAGGCCATACGCACTCAGCTCATATACAGGCTGCTTGCAGCTAGGGTGATCATCATTTTCCAAGAATGTTGTTTCGAATTAAGGTGTTATTGAAGAGACACTTTATTTCCACTGCCTGTATTCCCTTTGGTAATTTCTCAGTTTCTACTGTAAAGTACCATAAATTGCAAGACAGTGGTTAATGTAATTAGTTTAGAGTTAATTAAATAGACTTCTGTCTTACTAAAAATAAATGCAAAACTTAAGTGTATCAATTACACTTGTAGTTTTCAACCAGGGACAGTTTAGGACCCCATAGTGCCTTTGAAAATGTCTAGAGATGTTTTTGTTTCTCACATTTGGGAGGAGAGTGTTACTGACATCTAATGGGTGGAAGCTAGTAATTGCATAAGACCTTCTTTGAACAAGGAGTTGTGCTGCCCTAAATGACAGTAGTGCCAACTTTGAGAACCCTGAGTTCAACCATTGACAAATAAGCAGAGATTTCCTCTTCTACTTTTTATGTATGAGCAGTTATATTTGTTTAAGGACCAAATACATAGTGTTCTGTGTGAATCAAAAAGTTCTTTTGTTCCTGAGGGATTAACCTATACATTGAGATTATTTGTATGAATTAAAATTTAATAGTACATAGCGTAGTGGTTACGTATCCGGCTGTGAACCTCAAACTCAGTTCGAAACTACCAGCTGTTCTGCGGGAGAAAGATGAGGCTTTCTGCTCCCGTAAAGATTTACAGCCTCGGAAACCCTGTGCCGGGTCGCCATGAGTCGGAACCAACTCCATGGCACACCACCAGCACCACCTGTCATTCTGTATCACATTAAAAGAGATCCTTCTATTCAGTCTGATTGTTATGATTATGTCTTAGACAGATATATTTCTAGTGCTCACAATTCTAAACAACTGTTTTATAATCGAGCATCTGAAATATAACTCGTTCATAAATTGAGGCCTGTCTAAAATTACTTTTTGTACAAACATTTTAATTTTTATCAGAAAGCACTGATGAGTGTTGATATTTACTAAATTTACTACATGGAAAAAAAGAGATTAGGACAGATAATAAAAATCATAGTTACTGCTTATTAACTGATTACTAGGTGTAAGGCATTGTACTAAGTGCCGTATATGCATGATCTTAACAACTGTTCTAGGAAAAACATTGTTACTGACCCAATTTTATTTTAGTCTAGAACCCCATACTGTTTCAGAGAAGATCCTATTTGTAATACTGTTCTGACAGCCTATGAGATTTGGGCGTAGCAGAGGAACCTTGTATTTCTTTTACTTACATAGTAGTTATCCCCTAGCTCCCCCACAAAAAACAAAAAACTCTGTTAATAACTCAACTTATTGGAATGTGCACATACTGGTCTGGATTTTTTTTTTAAATGCAGTAATCATATTTTAGTAACATTTCAGTTTGGTTTTATAGTTTAACGTCATGAAAGCTTTCTTTACTATGTATGTACTGTATTTTTAGAGATCTTGTATTTTGAAGCATTCTAATTATTATAAAATGTTAGCTTGGATTAAAATATAAATTTTTATGAATTTGCTTTTGAAAAGCTGAGTAAGCATTTTATATTTTGTAGAGCCTACTGTAGTACCAACCACTTCTACTAGAATGGAATCACAAACTACAAGCGCTTCCATTAGCAATTCAAATCCATCTACCTCTGAGCAGACCTCTGAGCCTGCTCCAGCTGTCAGCAGTAGCCAACCTTCGACAGTGTCAGAGACTTCAGCTACTCTCACAAACAGTAGTACCACTGGTACTTCTATAGGAGGTATGTAAAAAATAAATTTGGTAGGAACCTTTTGTCATTCCCTTTGTTAGGAAAATTATTGATATTTTAATATTTGAGCTGTATTACCAAAAGCATATCTTAGATTAGGGTAAGCTTCATATGTGAACTCTGTAGTTTTTATTAGGGTTAGATTATGATTTCATAATTTAGTGTGTGTACCATATGTAACCAAAGTATTGTAGCTCAACTACCGGGATTGGATTTTTAAAAACTAAGAATATTGATTCAAAATTAAATGTCAGAATTGACTTAATGGCAACTAGTTTTTGTCTGGAAGTTGTATACAGAATAACTTGTAATAGATGTAAGTGGGTAGAAAAAAAGAAAAATCATATAAGTGGCAATTTTGAATTTGTTAAACGAAAAAGGAAAAATTGGTGATTAAAAAATTGAGTCATGATTCGACAATATTCTACACTTTCAATTAAATTGCTTTGAAAATATAATGCCTTTTTTTCTGGTCACATTTTGTTTAACTGGAAGATATTTTAAAGTTACCTACTGTGCTGTCATTTACCACAAGCAGAAGGACATCTAGTTCCTGCGATAAATGGAAATAAATTTATTTACCCAATGAGGTACGCTTTCCTCATTGTGGAAATTTTATCACATTGCAAACAACTATTGCAGTACAAGTCTGTTCATTTAATTCAGATTTTAATGGAAATAGGATCCTTTGCTATCTTACAGGTAGTATATCAACTAGTTGAAAGTAACTTTGAATTTTTCATGAAGTTGAATTTTTTGCTTTGTTTTGGTTTTTGCTCTCTATTAAATTACCTGTTTTCTGTTCTTTTTTAAAACTCACGTAGACTTTTGAGACCCAGCTTACACATGCTATTTAATAATTCAGAAAATTGTGAATATAACTGAAGTATTGTTCCCTGTTTTTGGTGTATCTTATTTTTATGGTCTATCCAAGTTTTATATCGCTGTTTTAAAATACTGGATGCATTAACCACTGTTGTTGAGTTGGTTTTGAATCTGTAATATAATTTGTAAGAGTAGAACTGTCCCATGGAATTTCAGAGACTATAATACAACAGACTGCTTTATCCTTCTCCCACAGAATGGCTGCTTGGTTCAATCAGAGAGTTTGTGGTTACTAGTCCCATTAAGATTATTTCTCTTCTTGAGTACTTGAACCTCTTCTGTGTTAACTTTGTGTCTTCTTTATTGCCTTGTTGATTACCAGAGTTTCTTTCATGTGATAAACTGATTATAATGTATGATTCTGTACAATATGAACTATCAGTTTCTTATTAAAAGGTTATCACTGGCCTTCACATGTTTTAATTGTTTGATGCTGGACTCTGTACAATAGTTTAAATATGTTGTTGTTAAGTGTTGTTGAGTTTGTTCTGGCTCATAGCATCCCTGTATAGGGTTTCGAGGAGTGACTGGTAAGTTTGAACCTCTGCCCTTGCAGGTCAAACTGACCTTGTACTCCAGCACATTAACCTACTTCGCCACACAAGGACTCCAGTTTCAATATGGTTGGTTGGTTGGTTGGTTATGTGCCATGAAGTCAGTTCTGACTTACAGCGACCCTGTAGAGGGTTTCTGAGGTTGTAATTCTTCATGGGAGCAGAAAGCTTCATCTTTTTCCTGCATGGTTTCAAACTACTAACCTTGAGATTAGCAACCTAACTCATACCCACTACACCACCAATGCTCCTTTTAGTATGTTAAGTCTGTAAAGTCGGTTCTGACTCTTAGCTACCCTGTGTAGGGTTTCAGAGACTATAGATCCCTGCAGGAGCAAACAGCCTCACCTTTCTCCCACAAGCCTTTAGTATAGTAGTTTTAGTTCCTTAATTTTAAAAAATTGCTTTTTCTGGAGTCTATCATTCTTGCAGAGCTTAAGTCAGAAGTGTTGTCAGCTTTCAGAATGTAGCCCTAGTCTAACCTATTTCATTCTTAGAATGTGCCGTTCTTTCTACTCTACATCTCTGGTTACTTTGTGGAGACTGCTATTGACGTAGATGGCAGAAGTGTTAAATTTGTTGTTAAGTGCCGTCGAGTCAGTTCTAACCCATAGGAAGGAACTGCTGGTGAGTTTGAACCACCAACCTTGAGGTTCAGTTGATTTTGCAATCCAGCACATTAGCCCACAGCATGACACCAGGACTCCAAAATGTCTAATAGAGACTTAAAAATAATCTTTAAAAAAATACATCTAGAGTCACTTATTTGGTTTCTCACTGCAATTCTCTCTCTCTCCTAACCCCAGTTTCTCTTGGTATTGGAATCAGCAGGTCTCCCACCCTGTTACACACATATATATAAACATATTAAATGTTTTTTATTTTTTATAATAATAGTTTTTCTTATTCTGTAAAGAAAGAATGAATAATAGTATGCAGTATCATAGAAAAAGACATTACAGTACTGCAGAATGGAAGGCAGTAGTATTGTTAGCTGATGTTGAATTTGGTACTAACTCACAGCGACCCTATGTACAACAGAATGAAACACTGCCAACCTCACAAATGTTGCCACGCTTGAATCCATTGATGCTGCCACTTTGCCAGTCCATCTCATTGGGGGGGGGGGTCTTCCTCTTTTTATCTGACCCTCCATTTTATCAAACATGATATCCTTCTCCAGCGACTGGTCCGTCCTGACAATATGTCCTAAGTATCAAAGACGAAGTTTGCCCATCCTGGCTTCCAAGGAGCACTCTGGCTGTGCTTCTTTCAACACAATCTGTTTGTTGCTTTGGCAGTCCATCGTACTTTCAGTATTCTCCAACACTATAATTCAAATGCATCAATTCTTCTATGGTCTTAGTATTCAGTATCCACCGTAGTCCTCAAACTGACATCTTTGCTCTTCAACACTTTAAAAGAGGTCTTGTGCAGCAGATTTTCCCAGTGCAATACTCTTTTGATTTGTTGACTGCTGCTTCCCTGAATGTTGATGACTGATCCAAGCAAAATGAAGTCGTTGATCACTTCAATCTTTTTTCTCCATTTATCTTGATGTTATTTATTGGTTCATTGGTGAGGAGTTTTTTCTTTATATTGAAGTACAACCCATAACCAAGGCTGTGATCTTTGATCTTTATCAGTAAGTTATTTAAGTACTCTTGGCTTTCAGCAATCATCTGCATATTGCAAATTGTTAATGAGTCTTCCTCCAATCCTGATGCCACATTTTTCTTTACATAATCCAGTTTCTCAGATTATTTGTTCAGCATACAGATTACAGATTGAATCAGCTTGGTGAAAGAAGACAACCACATTCTGTGTTCCTTTGCTCTGTTTGAGCAACTACTTTTTGGCTAATGTATAGGTTCCTCAGGAGCACAATTAAGTGTTCCAGAATACTCATACTTCGCAGTGTTGTCCATAACTTGCCATGATCTGTACAATCGAAAGTTTGCATAGTCAATAAAGCTTGAGTAAACATCTTTTTGGTATTCTCTGCTTTCAGCCAAGATCCATCTAACGGCATGAATGATATCCCTTATTCCATGTTCTCTTCTGAAACTGGCTTAAACCTCTGGAAGTTCTCTGTCAGTGTATGGTTGTAGCCATATCTGTATTGTTGTTGTTGTTATGTGCCATGGAGTTGGTTCCAACCCACAGCGAGCCCTATACAGGGTTTCCGAGGCTGTAAATATTTATGGGAGCAGAAAGCCTCATCTTTCTCGCGCAGAACAGCTGGTAGTTTCGAACTGCTCACTTTGAGGTTCATAGCCCAATTCATAACCACTACGCTTCTAGAGCTCCTTATACCTGTATTATTTGCAGTAAAACTTTACTCTCATAGGATATCAGTGATATTGTCTGATGATTTCTGCATTCTGTTGGGTCACCTCTCTTTGGAATGGGCACAAATACAGACCTCTTCCAGTCAGTTGGCCAGGTAGTTGTCTTCCAAATTTCTTGGCATAGATGAGTGAGTTCCTCAAGTGCTGCTTCACTTTTTTGAAAGATTTCAGTTTGTTTTCCATCAAATACTGGTGAGGTGTTCTTTGCTAATAACTTCAATGCACCTTGGACTTCTTCCTTCAGGATCATTGGTTCTTGATCATATGCTTCCTCTAGATATGGTTGAACATCAACCATTTGTTTTTGGTACAGTGACTTTGTATTCCTTCCACCTTCTTTTGATGCTTTCTTCATTATTCAGTATTTTGCCTAAGTCGATGTTTGAATTTTTCTTCAGTTCCATCATCTTGAGAATTGCTAAGCATATTCTTCCCTTTTGGTTTTCTAACACCAGGTCTTTGCATATTTTGTTACAATATTTGTCTTTGTCTTCTCAAGCTGACCTTCGAAATTTTCTGTCTAGCTCTTGTACCTCACTGCATCCATTTGCTTTAAAAGCAGCTCTATGTTAGAGTCTAAAGTTCAGTGTGTCTTCTGACACCCATTTTTTTCTTTCACTCTTGTCTTCTCAATGACCTTTGTTTTCTACCTGTGTGATGTTCTTGATGTCACCCCACAACAGTTCTGGTCTTTGGACTTTAGAGTCTAATGCTTCAAATATGTTCTTCAGATGATCTCTATATTTAGGCGATATATATTCAAGGTCATATTTTGGCTCTTGTGGACTTGTTTTCATTTCTTTTTTAAGCTTCAGCCTATATTTGCACATGAGCAGTTAATGCCCCTGACCTTGTTTTGGCTGATGTTTGACTTTTCCACCATCTCTTTCCACATATGATTTCTGTGTGTTCCATCTGGTCAGGTCCATGTGTATATTCATCTTTTGTGCTGTTTAAAAAAGGTATTTGCAATGTAGAATTCATTTGTCTTGCAAAATTCTATCATACAATCTCCAGCATTGTTTCTATCACTAAGGCCATATTTTCCAACTACTAATCCTTCCTCTTTGTTTCCAACCTTTGCATTCCAATTGCCAGTTATGATCAATATATCTTGATTATATGTTTGATGAATTTCAGACTGAAGAAGTTGGTAGAATTTGTCAATTTCAATTTCATTATCAGTAGCTTTCGTGCGTGG